ATGAGGCGTTATAAGGACCAGTAGGTAGTCCCTCTACGTTTATAATCCGAATAAATAAACTAAATAGTCTTTGAGAAGATCTACAAAATAACAATTTAGATGTAATATTTTTTTCATTTCAAAAATTATCGAATTTGGCGGTTCTATGGAGGCTTAGATTTTTTAATGTCCTGAAAATGGATATTTTGCATATACACATCTAACATCAATAGAAATCGTATTGCCAACTGAAACCTGGATCGGTCCATAATTGACCAAAAGTTAAAGATCGCAGCTAATTTAAAATCAAACAAAAATATTTAAATCAATTGGGTCCAAGAAAAAACTAAAACTTTCCTTATGCTGTTATACCATATAAGTCTACCAAGAACTTAATCAATCAAACCCGAAACTGTGAGAAAGATTGAGTTCAGTATATCCCGGACGTTTTATTTTGATCTTTCTAGCCCATTCTCATATGGCAACATATACACAATTTTAAATAAGTGATTTTTGATGTGGCCAAGGTCAAGGAATTGTGCTGCTTTTTTAGTTTGTAAAACCGCCGACGGAAAACAGTGCCACATATATGAATACACTGTCATAGATTGGAAACGATGTATCCGAAACCAAGTAAGCATTAAACTCTTCCTACATTACGACCTTAGATAGGTTAAGGAGAACACTCTTGATACCATTAAAGTGATTCCTAATTTGGAGGGTCTTCTGCTTTCTTTGGTTCCCGATAGAACTAACTGCTACTTCCTTGAAACTTTGATATAGTCCATATCATGAAAGAGTATTGTACCTTTCTGCGCTCTCGTAGAGTGATGTTGTTACGAATATTCTTCTTCGTCTTAATTGCTTTGCAATTACTGTTACATGCGTAACCAATGCGATCTGGCATGAGTTTAATCAAACAGGGTCCAGTAAGTATACCAATTAGAAGTAAGTAACTTCTATCAAAGACCAAGTTCTATTAAGCTAATAGACTTGAGGTATGCAAAACTGTCAAAGCAGATATTAATAGTCAACATCTCAATGTTTAGTTCTCGGATATTTTAAACACCTATTTTAATATCTGGGTGAAAACAGTGAGGGAAAAAATTTTCGCTTGCTACCCCAAAATCGTTCTTTTGCTGGATATTCCATGACCAATGCGACCATTTTTCAGTGGTCTTCACTCCGCGACCAAGGTATCGTAAGAGTGTCATACAAGAACGATCCGTTTGTTGAAAATTTTATTGTATTCTTATTTTCTCTAATGCCCTGAAAACACAAAACAATTCAACAAAGTATCCTCAGAAATGAGGGTTCGAACTTTTTACGTTATAGTTGAGACTTGAAGGATTCCAAACTGTCTACGCAGATGGAAATGCTTAACATCTTGAGTTTCAGTTCTCTGTTCCTTGTTGCGACAGTATCGATTTTAGTCTGATATCAAGAGCAGATATGCCTTGCATTGGTCTGAAATACTTATTCCAATGTTACTCTTGCTTTCCAATTCAGTAGAATGTCTTGCAAATACAACATTCTGTGACCGTGTTATTCTGATCGTTCAGTCTGCTATAAATATCGTGGAAATAATAACGGCTACTATTGTCACATGTCAGTTTGACAGTTTGCGTGCAATTTGGGCCATTGAATTTTAGTTTTCTAGTTCTTATTGTGACCGTATTGATGGCATACATTTTAGCCTGAAAGAACATTAGACAAGCTGATGAAGTCCAAGAAATCAATTTCATAAATAAAATACATTCTAACCCAATACAAGTTTGATCCATCATAAACTTGGCACATGAATTCGTCTTCAACCTCTGAATCGGTGCGCCTATTATCAGTTGAATGGTGCCATGGCTGATGTATGCATGTTTCAGTGCATATTATGCAGTCGTCCGTGTCATTTCCAGTATGCAGATTTTCGAGGTTTAAGAAGGTATAAGTTATTTATATCGTGGATCTGCTAACCCCAATTGATATTACCAAATGCTGAGTTTTAATCAGAGTTTTCCATGGATATTTAAAAAAATCCTGAAATCATGGTACAATTCTGAGTGCGATTTGGTCCAACAGAATGTCTTGCATTATCAGACAGATCAGACCTTTTGTATAAAGGCTAGTTTTAAGTTTATTTTAAGTACCAAAACTTTCAGATACATAATTGTATTTCCTAAAAGAATATTTCAATATTAGAGATTTCATCTCATTAGGAATTAAACCATAAGTTTGATTCAAATAGCAAGTCCAACTATCTAAACTTTTGCTGAAAATATGTCTTTCATTTAAAGTATTAAGCGCCCTGTTATTGTAATTCTGGTGCTACGATATGTCCAACTATAGAGCCATTTGTTGCTGCTGTCAACTGTATAACCAGTTTGTACTACTTTACAAAGTCTTTAAAAAGCTTTTTGTCTCTAACTCTTCTGAGTTCAATAGGTTTTTTTCGATACTACAATCATCTCAGATTGTATCAGGCGAATCAATGAAACTATTCATAACCATTGATCTTTAAAGTAATTGGATTTTGATAAATATGGCTGTACCTTATGTTACGGAGAAGATTCGAACTTTGCGGAGAATCTCATGCCTTATAACATATTTTGATGAGATTCGAAATATCCGGATAATCTTATGCCTTATAAAATTAAAAACATCTGGAATAAAATGGTTGAATAGAAATGGAATGATGGAAAGAACTTTCCTTTTTGGATGTCACCTTCAGTACAAAATAACTGTCAATGATCCAAAACTTTATACACTTCTCAACATATAAACTTATGGTCACTGCAGAACCTACATACCTACATGTCATAGAAAAGATATAAAGTAAAACTTTTTGTTTTCTGTGATTAAAAACACTTCGATGTTTACAAAATGGCTGTTTAGCAAGAGAGTTAATTAGTTAAATGTTAAATTTACTTAATTCCAAATCATGTATTTCCCCCTTTAAATGTATGAAGTGTAAAAAATTTCAAAATGCAAAATTTCTTTATAAATTATGTATATATTTTCATTGTCTATTTTCATGTCCTTGAACTAATCTTCAAAATCCTTAAATTACATATATACATATACAATTTAAGGTGGCTCTCATGCCCTTAAAACAGCATCAAGTGGTCTGGAAAACGACGAGAATTTCTATTACAATTAGGTTTGGCGCGACATGAGGCATACGAATTGGCCAAAAACTCCAACTTTGATGTTAATGACTATCAGGTAAAATGTCAAAAATGGATTAATAATGGCGTGCAGCTAATTGAAGTCAATAATAGAATATGAATGGAAATACGTAGTGGAAACAGCTGGAACGAACCAGAAGACACACTCATATTTTAAAAACCAAGATAATTTACAACATGATGATCGTGGATATATAACCAGCGTTATCGTTCTCGATCTCGTTCTCCTCCTTATAAGTACAAAGAAACTGATCATAGAGAAGAACGCTATCAACAATCAAGATCACGTTCACCTAATAGGCATTTCAATACAATGTATGGGAGGAAGAATGAACAAAAGTTTTTTCTCTGGACATGAAGATGGAAGAACGGGAAACTCGTAATGAATCTCCGCCTAGAAGTTTAATCGTTAGAGAAGAATATGAAAAGAAGAAATGAAGAATATTTTTTACAAGAAGACAATTTCAGAATGCGCCACCGCTCACGGTCCTATTCTCCACTTATTAATGCTGATCACGGCGTAGAAGAGCCTCATCTATCAAGATCACGTTCATCTATAAGACATTACGATGAGAGAAATTCTAATCAATATCAAGTAAGACGTAAACATGTTTATCGATATAACGGAAGATAGGATTCGTGAACAATCTCGTTCTTCCGCTTAGATGTGATAGTAGAGAAGAACGGTATCAAACATCAAGATCACCATTATCCCAATCGAGATTTTGATTCATGCGAGGAAGAGAAAGAGAGAAATTTTTTTCAGATCGTAATGATTTCAGCAACGATGTACGAAGAGTTGCTATTCGTAAACATTCTCGATCATATTCTCCTTCTGAATACGATCGTAAGGAACAACAGTTCATTTATCAAGATCACGTTCGCCACCTAGAGGTTTTAATGAGCGAAACCCCGAACGCTCCCGTTCTCGTCCTTATTCTCCAATTAGCAATGATCGTAATGAAGAATTTATTATTCATCAAAATCACGATCTCCCAACAGGAGAATGAACCAAGATTTTTCTTCTCAAGATATTAATTTCAGAGAAGGACTAAGAAGAGATACTAAACATTTTGAGCATTTAAGAGAAACTAAAGCTTCAACACAACCAAAACGTGAAATACCTTCTTTACTTACATTAGATGTTTTGGAAATCAAACACCAGGATCCCAGAATATCTTTCAAAATCGCAATATTCCTTCACTCTTATCTTTACCCGTACCAGATTTAATAAATTTCCAACAACCGTCAACATCTGCTAAAGCAAACCGCATTAAACAGGAATCAAAGTTTGACAACAGGGGAAGAACCCAACCAATGAAAAGTAAGCCAACTACTTATGTTACAAACTACGGGAGAAAATTCAGGACTTAAGCAACACATAGCAGAAGTTCCATCATAGAATCTGGCCTGAAGAAGCCATCACCCGGCAATTAAAATTTAATCCACAAGATTATTGGTCACAATGGTGGCCGACCTATAAGTATATTGAATATTCAATACCAAAAATAAATCCAAACGACAGTGAAATAAAGGCATGCATCAAGTTCTTGTTTAAACCACCAACAAATAAATTTCGTCATAGCAAGAATTCACTTTTGAATAAAGGAGTGAGAATCATTATGAAAACAGTGGATATAAATGAAACAAATTATTATGTGGCGTGACATCTATAAGTTATTCAAATTTAAAAAACATTTAGAAGATCCGAATTTTCAAAATCATTTAACGCCGCAGGAATTAAATTGTATCGCACCGGCATTGAGACAATTTCAAATTAAATCCACAATGGCTTATCTATATCAAGCTATGATTTGTAGATGGCACATTTCGCTGAATATAATGAAGAAAGTTCAAGCTGGAGAACCGATTCTCTCGAATTATGCTCGCAATTTACTCAATGACAAATGTTTTCATTATTTAGTCATGGAAGCTATACGAGAATTGAAGGTATATTTCTTAAAATTCTGTATAAATATATTTAATCATATAACAAAACTAACTTAAACTGTTTCCACTTTTAGAAATGTGTCAACAAGATTGGCCTCAATTTGGAGAATTTTATAAAAATATTAGGCGAAAAAAATTAATATTTATTCAATGGGCGTGGGTCCCGGCATGGATGTAATAATGTTAATCCCCTTGATAAATATAATAATGAAGACGATTATATTAATATTTATTAGTGCTTACATCTAACGTACATACATAATTGCTTAAATAATATATGAAAAAAACAATGCAAATTATTTTAAATTTAAATGTAATTTATAGAAATTTAATTCATACTAAAGCAGACTGACCACTTAAAATTTGTCATTCCGAATTTGGACTTGCAATACATAAACCACACACTATGTATTATTATTTATTAAAATCACAAATGATAAATTTTTGTCCAATTTTGCATGAATTCCTTTTAAATATGGTAAATATATATTATGAATGAAAACCACCCAACAAAAGAGTGCATTATTCGTAAAATCACTGTTGCAATAGGAACCGAAGTAGTACAATATAGAGTAATCAACACATACCTAGAAACCAATCTAAATCCAAATTCCTGGATGTTGATACTTCTGGCAATTCGTTCTCATATTAATTTTTAAAAGAATATATCGATATTTAAAGATACTCATTCTCATATTCATTAAAATTTACAAGCGACCAAAACCACAGTTCGACACTCGTTCTATGGGAAAAGTTCTTAAATCATTGATATTTGCTAAATCCTTATCAGAGTCCTAAGACAACATCTATCCAGAACTATGAGTTGACTCTTTGTAATCCATTTTACTGTTCCCGGACTAGTTGATGGTGTCCCGGAATCTATGAAAAATCATAAATAAATTGCCACCATAGAGAAATATGGTTTAACATCAATCCCGTTGCTTTCAGCACTGACGGGCCACAAATACATTTATGAGATGGTACCTATCTATTGATGAGAACGTTGAAGAATCGCTCATTTTCATCTTCGTTTGTACGACAGCCGTTCTTAGCTTTATCCTACTTCGTTCAGTCGATGTTATTAATTTTTCGAACAGGTCGTGAAAAATCTCCTACGAACTACTCTCGTCAGTAGGAGAGGCTATCTCAGCGGTCTAGCTTTGAGCTCATCATCAGAAACAAAGCTAACTTCTCCAACTTCTGAGTGGCATCGGTTTCACATTCAGATCAGTCAGTAACTGTCCTCCATGCTCAACAATTCTGGCGTGAATTTTCGTTAAGATCAGGTCACTCATTCACGAACTTCCTTTGATTTTCCTCTCTTCGAACAAGGGTTGGAGAGAGATCGAACTGTCGACCACGAAACCCCCCCCCCCCCCCCCGGGGGGCATGTTACCTTGACGAGATCTCCGCCGTGGTGTTATTGCAATCCCGGGGTATAAAGAGGTGGCCAATACCTCTGGCCGGGACTGAAAAATTGGTTACAGTCTTGCATAGATTGACAGAGGTCAGACCAGAGCACCGCATAATCTGGTACTACGGGTGGCCAGTTGCCTGCAGGACTATGTCCTGTCTGGTCAGTTGGTTGAGGTTCCTTCGGGATCCACGTAGTGGTTGTGGTTTAAACCCAAATTCGCGGGGAGAGTAAGTGGCAGTTAAAAGACTGATGCATGATAAAGTCAATATTTCGGGATAAGTCGGTGCTGTTGCCGAAAACAACAGATACCCCACAGAGGAGTGACTGTGGGACTAAGCGTTGGAAATGAGTTGGTATTAATTTTATATGGTACGGGATGAATGTGAGATTCGGCGGCCTTACCCCACCCGTCTACTTAATGAATGTGTCGTATGTTTTTCTCTTATGAAAGTGTCGTATGAATGAGATGTGTGCTGGGTTGAATGATGATGGTTGAAAGGTATCATATACATATGATACCATTGAATTTTCCTTCCTTGTCCAGATATGTTCAGAGTATACTCTGTTCATATCAGAATTACCACAGTGTGTCCCTTTGAATAGGAAACAATGTCTACGGCTTATTGATGGATCGTACTTCGGCCCACCGGTTACGTCTCTAGGTGCTGTTGCCGAATCAACAGAGGCCATCCAATGGTCAGAGATTAGATAGCTCGAGTAATCCAGCAAAGTACTTGTGCATGGACCGGTCAAAGCCAATGTACAAAAATTGCCAAGTGAGTTCTTCATTGAAGAACAAAGGGGCGATGGTAGACCGTTCTCAAGTCTACCAGTGGATGAAAAAGACCACCGTGAGATAAGGCCGCCAAGGCAGGTGCTCACGTTAAAACTCTCGACAGTCATGTCGACCACGACTTACACTCGAACTCAAGTTTCAGTTCTTCAAGTGATGTAGCCATCTATTCCTCTAACCTGCTAAATTTTTGGTTCAACTGGGCGAGTCTAGGATCACCTGGATTGGTATTTAGGATGTCATATCGTTCGTCTGGAAGCCTGGCTGATTCTGCTGGGAAGTGCGGCACACTATGGATATACGAACAGCAGGAATAAACGAACAGCTGTTCAGATGACAGTTTCGCGGAATTTCCTATATACATCTTAGACGTTGGAGGGAAATATGAGATCTTTGAAGATGACTGTTTTCTTTTGGTTTACGTATTGACGGTGTTCAGAGACGATAAAGTCGTTAGGTTGATGCAGACAAACGATTATGGGCATGTGATCTGATCTCTGAGAAACTATTGCTCGCCATGTGGCATAGTAGATTAGACCAGCACACGCAACCGTGATTATTGAATTCTAATCTGAATCTGTGATCTTTTTCAAGATGACAATTAACTAAATTAATACCCGGACTTCAGGACAATTTTAGATTCTTAAATTGTCGTTACAATTGTCTTGGTTGATATTCGTTGAACCTCGAGTCGTTGTGGTACGTGGAACCGATTGTCGTGTGAACGTAATACATTTTCATTTTTAAAGTTACACCAGGGAGTAGTACTACAGTAATATCAACTTAAACTATAATACCGTTACCTTTACAAACTTTGTATATCATTTGTATTTCATTAACTTTGAAGATTTTAACTTTTAAACTAATATCTTTAATTGGCTTCGAAAGAAGTGAAGGACGAGTGGAATTATTAATTTTAAATACCAAGAATATTGAGGACAGATGTAGGTAGGTAGATTTCAGAATTTGATTATGTTAGAGTTTACTACTGATATTTCAATAAAATAAAGACAAAATTGCGAAGAAAACTTATTAATTACAAAAAATCTTAATACCATAACTCTCTATTACTATTTCCTTCTTTCAGGATTTTGTATTAAAAGTTTCAAAGTCAATACCAATGAAAAATATTTTATCAATGTCTGCCAAGCCGAGGAAATTCCCTCTCCCGAAGACATTTCCGAAACTGAGTTAACGGCCATTCTAAATTCGGAAGAGCCAAGTTCATTTCGTATACCAATGAGCATATCGGAACCACGCACAACTAAAGATAAATCCAATAATCCCGTTGATGCAGTTGATATTGCCATCAATCCGAAATTCTTTATTAAAATTGAAAAATCTTTGCTATTTCGTGATTTCTTTTTGGCCCTCATCGCCGAGGCTCTCAACGATAAATACAATGTTCAGATTAAAGTTGACAAGGCTATAATTTTGAACAATCGCAAGTTCATTGGTACTCTGGTATCACATCGTGTGCGTAATAATGATGTTAAAACTGTATTGAGTTCTTATAAAAATCCCAGCAAAGAAGATGTGGAAAAACTTAAAACTCTTGAAGAATCAGCTGCAAAAGGTCCGAAACCTTTGGTGCAAGAAATTGATGTGAATGAATTGAAAGCCTTAAAACAAAAGACCGAACAAGTTAAGCAACAACAAACCACAGATTCTATACGCATTAAGAAAGAAATATCCCAAGCTGCTTCCATCTTACCCGATTATAAGTTGAGAGCACGCATTAAGAATGAAGCGGTAGAGGAAGTTCAAGCTGAATTTTATTTGCCAAAATGTGTAAGTAATTTGAATGTTTCCATAATTTATGACATTCGTCTAATTTTTCTTTGAATCTATATGTAGATTTCTTCTCATGAGTTGACTTTGGATATTGGCGAAGATCGTATACTTTTGGAATCCATGAAGCATGGCTACTTGTTTGATAAATTTGTCAATTATCGTTTAAATCAAGAGAAAGCTCGCGCCATATTTGATAAAACTAATAAGGTTTTTATAAAACGAATTTTATTCATTTATATCATAAAATACGTTTTTAAATTTTTAATTACAGATGCTCCAAATTCGCATTCCTGTTATGACGGCTTAGTCAAAAATCTTAGTTTCCAATGGCCAGTTGAGTTATGTTTGTGTATTTTTTATAATTTAAATTTTAATTTTCATTTACATATACATACATATAAATAAATATTACTATTTTAAATAGCAATTACAAACAACTTGTAGCAATAATTTAAATATAGCTGTAAAAAGCGATCGATCAAATAAATAGGAGCTGTAAAGTTTTTAAGCTTTAAACAAGTTTAAGAAATTCTGCTTATTAAAAATAATTTGATTAGTTTCCTAAAGTGGAAATTTATATTGAAATAATTTTATTTTTATTACTTTGCGGTAATCTTATTTATTTCATTAAATTTGAACATTTAATTAAAATTACGAACAATTATTTACCTTCATATCGTCAGCTAAAACAGAAATAGTATTAACGAACGAAAAAAATGCAAAAGTCCTTTTTTCCGTTGATTCTGATGTACTGCATCAAAAAAAATGTTCACAAACTCTTCATATGCAGCATTGTCAACTGTTAAACTAACTGATACGTTTTACCGTTTATCAATTTGTTTATTGAAGATAAATAAATCGTTCTGATTGTAACTATCTTTTCATCTAAACAGCTTTTGCTTGCCCTGTTCCACTGCCAGAGCCTTTTCCCGTACTGCCATCCTTACATTAGGACAGTCGGCCAGAAGTTTACAGATCATCTCAGTCTTCTCTGATGCCTTGGCAGCCTAGCTATAATTATTGTATGGCAATCTTTTAAACTCCGCAGCTCGCTCCGAAGACATGAGCTCCTTGATTATCAGGGTACTACTCTCTCTGCCTTTAGGCATACTGCAGCTTGATTTTGCAATCGTCACTGACCGTGATGTCGGGTTAGTCCTTACTTAGCAGGTCGAGCAGCCCGTCTATCGTGTTAATTTGTATATATTGGAAATCTTTTTAGGATCCCACTAGTTCAGAGGGACAGACCGTTATGGAATGCAAGTCTTTAAAAAAGGATTTTTTGTACGCAGCATTCCGATTGAATGAAAATATATAAAATTGTTTCGTTTTTCAACCGTCACTTTTTGAATTTTGTATAATATTGGACCTAGAAATGTAAAGTGATTCAATTGATGAAATGATAGTCTATAAAATGGCACTTTCTATTACTTTTTCGTTCTTTAACTGGTGTTTTTTATTTTTCTTGAATACATATATAACTTAAATCAGACAAAAAACCTCGTGATGGAATGAAAGTGAAAGCTTTTTGGTAATAATCAAATTTAAATAAACAAAAAGGACATAAAACTAATGACCCAGCATCCTGAATGATTACTGTTTATATAAACATATTGAAAAACACAGACTTTCTACAGAATGGCTTATGTTTACTTTTTTAATATCGATGAGGGTAGCGAATCACCCAGGGTAAGCTAGTTATTTATAAGACACAGTTCTTAAAATTTTTGTATTAGAAAACTTTAAAAATCCCTTAGCTGCCACGGCAATGGTACTAGTGATCTATGCACATATGTACATACATATATCCAAACCTAAAATTAATTAAATTTATTATCTCATAGAAATGCAAACTCTTGAAAACTATTTCTGTCATATTAAAACTACCCTACCTTTTCATAGAAAATACTCTTTTATTACATTTAATTTGCGAAAATAAATGAAAAAACAAAAACAAACATTTGGCAAGCAAAAAACAATACTACTTATTGAAATTTCACAAAACAGATGAAAGAACGTGTGTAATGAAAAACCAAATAAAAATGCATAAAACAGATTTATTGTATGACAATTCTATTTCAATTTATTTGTAATTTTGCAAGTTTTTAAAAAACAAATTTTTGCAAACGAAACTTGGTTTCTATGGTCTTCTAATTTCTAACAAGGAATTTTTTCCATTATGTAACTTCCAGCATAATGTAGATATTGAGATTTTTCAATTTTTCTGCTTGCCAATTTACTTGCCTTCCAATTTGGCATATAATTTGGGTACATAATCATCCCATTCAGCTTGATAAAAGTTGCCGGCAACTGGGTTACCCAATTGGTATTTCTTGGCAAAAGCAGCAATTTTGAAGCCACCACGGCCGTCACCACTGTTGTCGGGTAAACGTTTTTCATCGCAAGACAACTTGGAGGGTTGTTTGTAAACCAAAAAGACATAACGATGTAGACCAGTACCCTGTGGTGGTCCGGAACCAATGTAGTCAGACAAAACTTCACCATCACTGACCTTAGAACCGGGTACGTTGACTACCAGCCAATGGTGCCATTCACGGAAGGTGGGTTCCTTGCGACTGGGAGCATCAGGATCGGTCATGCAAACGGTGTAAAGAGCATTAGCATCAGCATTCCAGCTCAATTGTGGTTTATTTTGCACCTGCGTAGGTGTTAAAACATTGCCTTCTTTCACTTGCAGATCACCGTAGGTAACACTCAATACCTCAGTGGGAGCTGTATCGATAACATCAGGTACAACTTGATGTTCCTGGAAACTTTTCAACGACATTTTTGCAAAGTCTCGTTTTAAAGCAACGCTAATATTAGCCGACGATTTAGCCAAACAAACCGGTAAAGTTGAAGAGATTTTCTGACTGCAACAGTGATAGCTTCTGACAGCTAACAGGAAACTTCTCGACTTTGACAAAACAATTTGCTGTTGTTGTGTTTGTGCCGGCGTAGCAGCTGCGTGATATTTTATTAATGCTTTCGTCGTTTTTGTTGCACCACGAGATAAACGTACAAACATTTTCGAAAGAATACTTGTTTTTCAACAATCGACAAGCAATTGTGCACTGAAAAAATGCACTTGAAAACGGTTTTTTCGTGTACAATTTAAAATGTAAATAGCAGCGCAGTCGGCAGAGATTTGGTGCAGAGACTCGCGCCGAACAAAATAAACTACGGATGACAAACATTTCTGCGGCGGCTTAAAATCAATTGCAAGCAGTGTTGCCATTTTAGCACTTTCAGTGCTAGATTTAGCATTTTGCTTCAATGCATTTTGAAAATGCATTGAAGTTTTTTAAAATTATTTAAATGCTTTTTAGCATAATTTGCTTGCTAAAAAAAATGAAAAATATTTCTATATTTTCTATAAAAAATTAAGTATAGTTTAACTGATAAAAATATTACTGAAAATCAGTGGTTGGATATTGCAAAACAACATTGTGACAAAAATCTGATACAATGTATATAATTTTGAAAATTTTATCGGTGAAAATTAATTTAATGAATTGTCTATTTTTGTATTGTCATTGCTTTTTCTAATGCAGAACTTGAAAGGCTTTTTATATCAAAGGCTATAATTAAAATTCGAAATCGTATTTAAGCTGAACTTTTATGTTCAATAATACAAATTCGAAAAGAATTGAAATTTCAAAATGTATGCTGTTACACTTAAGGCCTTAATCATAAACAAATTTTAATTTTATACAAGTTTTATAAATCAAATTTAATATTAAAAATCTTTTACAAAATAAAATGTAGTTTATGAATACATAAAATATTATATTACAAATAAAATACGATCATTTGAAAAATATCAAAATGAGAATTACGATGAAGATATAGTACCAGAAATATTGGAGTCATACACTACATCATCAGTATTTTAATAAAAACTAAAAAAAACAAATATTTATATTGCTCTGTTAGATTAAAAAATTTTAGCACTTTTTTTTCTTCCGTAGAACATTTTAGCACTTAGTTTTTCAAGTTTTAGCATATTTTGAAATTCATTTTCCGGCAATTGATTGCATTGATTGCAAGTGGCTATCAGTAGGGTTCTATAAATCGACTTTCGAATAATCGAACAGACGACTTTTTGTCGAAAAAAGTCGAAGTTGACTATTTTGGTCCAAAAAGTCGATAACTCGACTATCGTCTGTGAAAAAAGTCGAAAAGTCGACTTTGTAAATAAAAGTCGAAAAGTCGACTTTGTAAATAAAAGTCGAAAAGTCAACTTTGTAAATAAAAGTCGAAAATTCTAAAAGTCGAAAAGTCGAATAAAGTCGAAAAAAGTCGAAAAGTCGTAAAAAGTCGAAAAAAGTCGGAAAAAGTCGAAAACCCGAAAATAGTAGAAATATGTAAAAAATATCGAAAATTTTAAAAAAGTGGAAAAAAGTAAGTAAGTAAAATAGTCGGAAAACTCGAAAAAAGTCAAAAAATAGTCGAAAATAGTCTAAAAGTAGAAAAAAATCGTAAAGTCGGAAAAAGTCGACTATTTCTAAAATACTTTAAGTCGAAAAGTCTAAAAGTCGACTTTTAATTAAATGAAAAAAGTCGAAAAATCGACTTGTCATAAAATGCAAAAAGTCGAAAAGTCGACTTTTCGTTTCAACTATAGAACCCTAATGACAAGTAAAGGAACACAGTTTTTATATGAAAAAGAGTTTAAAATGCCCATAGCATTTATATTTAGTTACAATTGTATTAAAAAACGCAGAAAATTAATTATTTAATTTATTAGAATAAAATTAGATTCGATTTACTTCCCACTAGATTTGTGTACTCTGTTTTAAAACGAGAAAAATTATGCGAATTCGTTTTTAAACGAGAAATTTACTCGGATTCGGTTTACAGAACAGGCAGGACTATGTAATATTATTTTGCCCAAATTTGCTTTTTATACCCTACACCACTTTAGTGGGGAGGGTATATTGGGTTTGTGCTGATGTTTGTAACGCACAATAATATTGGTCCTATACCCACCTTAAAGTATACCAATCGGCTCAGAATCATTTTCTGAGTCGATTTAGCTATGTCCGTCCGTCTGTCCGTCCGTCTGTCCGTCCGTCCATGTAAACCTTGTAATCAAACTACAGGTCGCAATTTTGAAGATAATTCAATGAAATTTGGTACATGATCTTCTATTGTCCCAGGGACGAAGCCTATTGAAAATGGTTAAGATCGGTCCATTATTTCACCTAGCCCCCATACAACTGAACCACTCGAATAGGGCTTTTAAAACTTGTAATCAAACTACAGGTCGCAATTTTGGAGATAATTTAATGAAATTTGGCACATGATCTTTTATGGTATCGTAGACGAAGCCTATTGAAAATGGTTAACATCGGTCCATTATTTCACCTAGCCCCCATACAACTGAACCCCCGAATAGGGCTTTTAAAACTTGTAATCAAACTACAGGTCGCAATTTTGGAGATAATTCAATGAAATTTGGCACACGATCTTTTATGGTACCGTAGACGAGGCTTATTGAAAATGGTTACCATCGGTTTATTATTTCACCTAGCCCCCATACAACTGAACCCCCCGAATAGGGCTTTTAAAACTTGTAATCAAACTACAGGTCGCAATTTTGGAGATAATTCAATGAAATTTGGCACATGATCTTTTGTGGTACCGTAGATGAAGCCTGTCGGTCCATTATTTCACCTAGCCCCCATACAACTGAACCCGCCGAATAGGGCTTTTAAGTTCATAATTATGTTTAATATACACATATCTCGACAAAAAGCTGCAATAACCAAGTTGTATACAAGACTTGATGACCCCCACGAATTCATAATAGGTTCTCATATGACCCTAGCCCCTATGAAAAGCCCCCATCAAAATTTCACTTAAATGTCCACAATTTTATTCAACAATAAACGGCTTAAGTATGTATATCTAAGGCAAGGTACAATTCAACTTAAATGCTTTATTATGGCAACTAAATCACATTATATTTTTGTCAAAGGTGTAGGGTATTATATGGTCGGCCTCGCCCGACTATAACTTCTTACTTGTTTATTACTGAATAAATAAATAAAATATGTTTGTTTTTACGTTATTGATCATTTTCTTAATGTAAATTTTTTATATGTTTTATATGGAGAATAGGGTCAAATAAAGGCCGAACCTCGTAAAACTTAGAGAAAGTATTTGTTTTTAATTTTTAAGAATTTTTTATCCATCCCTGCATAATTTCTCACACAACTTGTTCTTGCTCTTTTTTGTTATAAATAATATATTTGCTTCCAAAATCCCACTTTCTGATCTCTCGGATTCCGTTTTTATTTAAAATCGTTGAAAATTAAAACTAAACATAGTTGAAAACTTAGCCGGCTTACAGTCGATTTTAAGCCGCCGCCGACATATTTAGTGTCAGTCGCCGACGCCGTTAATATTTGTCGGCACAGGGCTTTGTAACAGCTACATTATTAATACTGTTAAAAAGGAAAACAATAAAAATATTTGTTCTGAAACGAAGGCCATTATTTTTAAGGGCAGTGGTTTTTCACCCCACAAAAACGTAAAGAATTTTTCTATACTTCCAATAAGAGATAACAAAAGTATTAAAGGACAATTATAATATTCTGTTCAAAAAAACAATAAGATTATTAATTATTTAAGATATAAACAGTGAGTCATGTTTTTTCATTACAAAGTGTTTTTGTTGTTGTTAATGTTTTTATCTAATTTTCATTCACATTACGTCTAGAGTGGAGAAATAATTAATATAAAGTCAAAGCAAATGACAAGTGAAGCCCCTCAAGTGGGGCAATCAGCCTCTGCCTTGGCCGGCAGCAGTAGTACTTCATCTTCGATCAATTCGTCTACGCCCTCTTTATCAGAACTTTATGCACAGACTGATTTTTATATTGGAGTCGGTTTGGCTATTAGTTCGTGTTTCTTTATTGGATCGAGTTTTATTATAAAGAAAAAGGCACTAATCCGACTTAATCGTCATGGTGAAGTAAGAGCATCTGCTGGCGGCTTTGGTTATCTTAAGGAGTGGATATGGTGGGCTGGGTTATTAACAAGTAAGTTTTTGTTAATATTTTTTAACTATTTTTTAACTATTTCAAATTTCTTTTCAGTGGGTTTGGGTGAAGCTGCCAATTTTGCAGCGTATGCTTTTGCTCCCGCCTCACTTGTTACCCCGTTGGGCGCTTTAAGCGTTATAATCTCTGCAGTAATGGCTTCCAGATTTCTCAACGAGAAACTAAATTTACTTGGCAAATTGGGTTGTTTCTTGTGCATTATTGGTTCCACGATTATTGTCCTACATTCGCCCAAGGAGAAAGAAATTGAAGATTTAGAAATACTGTTTGAAAAACTTCAAGATCCCGGTTTCATATTGTATGTCATTGTAATAATTGGTTCTACCATATTTGTAGCCTGTTTCGTAGCACCTCGCCATGGTCATTCAAATGTTGTCATCTATATATTTTTATGTTCGGGCATTGGTTCACTGACGGTTATGTCCTGCAAGGCTTTGGGTTTAGCCATACGTGATACTATAGCTGGAAAGAATGATTTTGCCACTTGGATGCCCTGGTTTTTGATATTGATAACCGTGACATTTATAGCCATACAAATGAATTACTTGAATAAGGCTTTGGATATATTCAATACGGGTATCGTAACACCTATTTATTATGTCATGTTTACCACGTTGGTTATAACCGCTTCGGCTATACTCTTTAAAGAATTCAGTCATATGCGTTTCGAAGATATATTGGGTGATATTTGTGGGTTTTTGGTGGTAATAAGCGCCGTATTTATGTTAAATGCCTTCAAGGATCTGGATATATCACTTAATGATGTTCGTGGTATAATGCGTCCAAAAATGCAAAGACTTAATCAATTTGACGAAGAAGTTTTGGTAACTGATGATTCCAAAGAACGTCGTTTCTCTTATGGTTCAGGGGACATTTACCGCAAGGCATGACATAAGCAACGTTATCAAGTTTAATATATGTTTTAATAACTTGATAATGTAATCCCTTTAGTGTACCCTTATTTATTTGTACTTTTAATTTTCCTTTATGAAAAAACTGTTATATTTTCTTTTTTGTTATTGAATGTGTTTATGTGCAAACATGAATTCAAAATTTAGTGTGGACTTTTGTCCTTAACTCCAAAAATTAACTAAATTTATAGTTATAAGTTAGTCGATAAGAAACTAAAAACATGCAATTGAAACAAATAAAATATGCAGAAATTTTTAGTGGACAACATACACAGTTTGTTGTGAAATTTAATGTAGTTTTCCCTCAAAATACTCTAAATTCGCCTAATGTTTACTGCCCAACGTGTTTCAGATTCAAGTTCCACTTTTGCAAACAAAAAAACTAGCACATTTTTGTTTTGTATGGGTCAGAATAGGAACAACTACTGGAAAGAACCGTATTAATGGTTATTCAAATTCAAATCAATAATATTTTTTATCAGGAAATTTTATTAATGACGGACTAATTTGAAAATTAAGGATACATTTACTTAGTTATTAAATGTACAAAGTAATACAAGTTAAAAAAAATTTAATTATTTCTTTTCAAAATTGCCCCACTGTGCAACGGTTACAGTTGTAATTAGGGCTTAAGGGTTTTATAAATCGACTTTCGAACAATCGACTTTTTATCGTAAAATGTCGAAGCCTGAAGTGCTATTTAGGTTTGAACTTCAAATAGAAATTTTTAATTACGAACAGAGATTTTAAATTCCTATAAACATTTTTAACTACGCATAGAAATGTTTAGCTTCGAATAGAAATTTTTAAGTTAGGAATTTTCAATTTCAAATAGAAATTTAAACAAAAAGTCTACTTTTTGCAATTATGAAAAGTAAATTTTTCAACTATTTTCAATATACGGAAAAATTAGATTTTATTCATATCGACTTTTCTATTTTAATGAGTTTTCCGACTTATTTCGGCCTTTATTTACAAAGTAAACTTTTTCCTCCAAGATAGTCGACTTGCCGACATTTTTTAATAAAATAGTCGGCTCCTTTCGACATAAGATCGTTTGCTCGATTGTTCATACTTTTCATAAATCGTAAAAAGTAAAAAAAAATAAATAAAAAATACAAAAAATCTACTTTTTGTTTGAACTAAAACAAGTTTATGTGATGACTTACTTAAAACTTGGCGATTTCTAAACAAATCATCTGGCAACTTTAATGGCCTAATGAACAAAATCTAGGTGAATTCACATAAGGTGGTGTTATTCTATAAATTGATATTTTTCGTTTTCCTGGTATACGTAGTGTCGGTTCACAAAGGAATACTTTTTTGGGAAACTTTTGATTTTCTGTGTGAGAGAAAGATATGGTTGATATTTCTTTCTCGTTATCTCACATACAAAATCAAAAGTTTTGCCTGTGTTAACCAGCACGTAGCTGCCAAAGTCTGCCAAAGTTGTTTACATTTTTATACATAAACATTTCCGTTAAAGCAGAAAAATTTTTTTTAGTATATTAATAATGGCGAAATGGGTATTTATATAAAAATATACATACCATCTGTTTATTTTAAAATGAACAAACATTATTCCATTCAGGATTCACAAATGTTTATGTTTTATTGAATATTTCACAAAAAAATGTCATTAAATGAATTCGCCGTAACTTACTGTTTTTGACATACAAAAACAAAATACCACCTTATGTGAATTAGCCTTGAAACAAATAGATGAATTTGTGTTCAAAGCAAAAAAGTAAATACTATAAAACAAAAATTGAACGAAACTACTAAAAAATAATTTACATATATCAGAAATCTGAAAGAATTGTGAATGCAGCCAACAATATTTTTACTTTTTCCTGACCTATAGAATACCAATTCGAAGAGCATTAGAAATATCATAACGTTCTTATAAACAAACACTTAAGCAGATCTTATCTTCCTAAAGTGAATGGCAACAAACGTTTGGAGATAATATCCAAAGAATAACCTATTAACATAGTAAAGACCACTGAACATCATGAAGACTATAGATAGATATGATTTGAATTTGAAACTAATACAAGCAGTTGAAAAACACGACTGCCTTTATAATGTAAAATCTGCTCAATATACAAAATTCGACTTTAAGGAGCATCTATGGAATACAATTGGAAAAGAAATTGGCATTAGCAGTAAGAAAACACTCAAAGAATTTTTTGAAGAGTTTACTTATTTATAATACCAAATACAATAATTTAAGGTAATGAAGCCAAAAGTAAGTGGAAGGGTGTCAGAGATAGTTACAAAAAATATAAACATAAAGCAAATGTTGCAGATGGATATCTTAAAAAGTATAAATATGCTGAGGCTTTAAAATTTCTAGACAACGTCGTTAGCTATCGACCGTAAGTTTTATACAATTTGTATATATACTAATAACTCCATTTTTTAAACAATTTTAGACATAAATGGCTTAACATGCCCAAATCAGATGTAGAGGTCAGTACAGACCTATCCAGTGAGGATGAATTTATATATGAACAATCAGCTAACGGTCAAACGGAAAGTAATTTCGAAATACAAGAAGATTTTTCGGACACATCCTCCACGAAAGAAGTTAAGACCGCAGCTGAAAATATTGCCACGGAGACTAGCGAAATATTACCTACAACATTAAACAAAGATGAAAACTTAATAACAGAAGAGAAAAACGGTGATATTGAATGTCCAACCATTAACAATTCTTCCAAAGAAGATTTAATGGTACACGCTTAAAAAATCAAAAGTCACTCCCTTTTAACCCAATTTCTTTTTTTTAGGAGCAAACAAAAGAAAAGGATTTGAATGAGCAATTAATAGATGAAGTTAAAAAATATGACTGCATTTACAATTCAGAGTCTAGCAGATACAAACATTTTTCATATAAAAAACATTTGTGGCACAAGATTGGAAAAAGATTCGGCTTACCTGGTAAAAATCTTTATAAAACACACCTTAACTTATAACACAAATTTTGTTTAAACATTTTAACATTCAGCTAATGTAGTCAATAAAAAGTGGAAAAATCTTAAAGATAGTTATCGGAAAAGTAAGATAAAATTAATCAGTAAAAGCGGTTTTGTTAAACCATATAAATATTCGGAATCTCTAAAATTCCTAGATGATTATATTGAATGCCGACCGTGAGTATTATGTTGACAATGTTCCACAAATAAGATTTATAATTTGTCTATTTCAAGATCTATGAGCAGAGTTGTTAATGAACCAGAGGTAAGTACCGATTTGTCAAGCGATTGTGATATGCTCATGATATCTTCAAAAAAACACAAAAGAAGAAAGGAAAGTTATGGAAAAATACCAAATCATTCGCAAGCATCATCTGAGGAAAACATAGAAAGCGAGCCGGAATATCAAAAAACAATGACATCCCGCTTGTTTATGGTACTAGCAAATAAAGTAAACGAAGCAAATTTAACCGCACAACAAAAAAATGCTATTGAATTTGGTGTTAGTTCTTTTGTATATTCAAAATTAGCGGAATATTTAAAAAAATAAATTCTAGTACAACTGTAGAAATTTTGTACTTTATTTTTTAATGCAATAATTGTTTAAATATGAAAATGGTCTTTGACTTTCAGGTACACTTCGGTTTTTAAGCTGGAATCGATTCAATTTGTAATGAATTGGATACAAAATTTAGTCATTGTAAATATCTTTACCGATTGGCAACCGTTTTTATGAAGCCGCCAAAATGTGTAGTGTTGGCCGCCTATGGTGTATATTCGCCGCAGTACTCTAGCAACTGTAAACAAAATATTGTTTTTGTTTTCATTTCTGTTTCTGTATTGTTCGAGGAGTAATTTCGCACATATTAAATTGAAAGTATTCATTTGGTATAAATGGAATCTTTGCCATTATCCGAATATCAAAAGATATGTAGAATTTGTTTAAAAAATGATATACTCGTATCCATTTATAGTCTGACATTTTTAATACGGCCAATTGAAATGCTGGAAAAATTGCAAATTTTGAAGGTATGTATGTGTGTATTTATTAAAAATCTGCAGTACAATGTATAGTAATTATAAAAATCGCAATACAAATTATATTATAGCTGCCTTTAGATGATACTTTACCCGCGTTGTTGTGTCAATCCTGTTTATATCGTCTTTTGGATGCCTACAACTTGCAGCAATTGGCAGAAGCTTCCGAGAGGCGTTTAAGGGAGTATTTTGGTCTACCAACTACGACTTCAGCAACAAGGTGAGATTAAAGTGGATTTATGTTTAACTTTTCTATAGATATTCTATTTTGTAACAAATTCACTCTAATCTCTGTAGCAACTTAAATTGCAACGAAATGCCACCAAACTCGGATTTAATTAAACCTGATACAGATTGTTCCTCCGTTTCCATGTACGCTAACATCTGTGATATGTTTGATCGTCATGAGGTAACAAATGATATGGTTGAAGTAGTTGGTGGAACTGATGATGTTGAACTTTTAAACGATGTCGAAATTGATGTCAGTAGTTTGACAAGATCTGAGGCAGGAGACACCTCACTTAGTGATGTTTTTATGACCACGAAGACGAAATTATCATTTGGTTCACAGTTGCTGGCGAAAAATTTGGAAAATTTTAAACCGGATTTTCCAATTTCGACATTTACTCAGGTTAAATCCGATAAAAAACTTGTCAACGTTAAAAAGTCACAAAGAAATTCAAAAAAACGTTTGAACAAGACGTTAAAGCCACCTGATAAATGTTTGGAATGTGGCAAAGTTTTCCACTACAAAGGATATTTGGAAATACATAAGCGTGTTCATACTGGAGAAAGGCCGTTTAAATGTCAGGTGAGTGTTTTGATTACCACATATATACGTTTATATGTATGTAGATAGATATTTTGCAAAGTATATTGTTAAATAAAATTTGAAAATAAATTTTAATTGGTTTAAATAATCTTTAATTTCTATGGGATGTGTTACTTTTTAAGGATTTATGGACTTCCGTTTACAGAAATTTAAAATTCAATTATGTTCATACATATCAATTAAACAAATAAAAAATGCATTCTATATATATTTTTTTAAATAATTCATTTAAATTTGTTATATAAATTATTAAGTATCATAATATACAAATTATGATTGTATCATGATTAAGTACGAAAAAATACATAAAAGTCCCTGAAATTATATAAATTATTTGTACAATATGATATCAACTATTCTGTCGATTTTACACCCATTTCATGTGATTTTCTAAAACATTTAACTATTTGTCCTACAACTACAGCTAAAGCATATACAATAGCTAATGCTACAAAATAAAAACCATAAACAATATATTGATTTCTGGGATCTAGACCGAATCCCAAAGAGTCGGTAACAACAACCAAAGTTAGAATGGTTTGCAGTACCAGTGCTACTAAAGTGTTAATGCCAAATATTAAACCAAAACTGTCATCACTTAAATTTTGTGCAACTATAGCACTGGCTATTGTTATAACAAAGAAATAAAACACGCCAAATATGACATACATAACATAGGCTACCCAAAGTAGATTCGTTACGGCGGATATTATTAGAAAAGCACCCATTAATATGGAGCAGATGGTTAAAATCCACATATGCCATTTCTTGTGTCGTACACCGTTCATAAGACCAGCAGCCATTGCTGCGGCAGCTCCCAATAGTGTGACAGTAGCCTCGACTCCACCATTATAAAAACTTTCATGATTTTCATCAATCTCTTTCCATAGGATTTGTGCGTAGGAAATAACTTGCAATTGACCACATGTTGCTAAAGACCACCAAATGCTCCATTTTAGAACAGTACGATTGGAATACGCACTGACAGTGTGCTGCAGAAGTAAACGGGATGCATTTCTCCATGAAAATTTAGGCTTAACGACAGTGGTGGGAGTTTCGATTGTAGATGAAGCTAAAAATTAGAAAATTAATTTAAAAATTATTTATGTATAACATATATTGTATATGTACGTATCTGTGAGAGAACATTTCAAAGTTTTGAATTCTAATACAAAACTATTGATAAAACATCGACATTATCTAGATTTCTGACGCAAAAAAACATACAGTTTACTGTAGAGATTTCAAAATGCCAACAATGTTCTTTTTAAGTTAATAGATAATAAAGGCCTGCACAAGACAACAATATTAGCAAATTGTCGCATTATTGTTGTCTTATGCAGATTTTTAATAGATAAATTAATAAGAAATATTTATTGGAGATAGTTTTCGAAACGCGAATTTGGTATTAACGTTGAAAAACGGATGTTGTTGCATTAGTTTCTACTCAACTGTAGTAATACGTTGGATTTAGTCTAAACTAAAAATATAGTACAGACAAGATCCGGTGTAGTCAAGACAAATACCTTTCCATAAATGACGTTAGTTGAAAATTAACGATTTGCAGTTTTATGTTTTTAAATAAAACTAACTTTGGATATTTGTAAACGTATTTTATAAAAATGGCTCCTTAAATTAATAAACACATATTATTACTCACTCTTTCTTTCTAATGCTAATTCGGTGTTACCATTTTCCAAAGCCAATGTAGGCGCATTACTATTATTGCCCCTTTCTGTGGTATTATCATCGTCTTCTGCTTTATAGAAATAAATACTTTGCTGGACAGGCGGCAATGCAAGGGCAATAACCAATGAAACGAGTTGCGAAGCAAACGATATATAATGCAAACCACGATAATTTAAACTCTCGGTTGAAACCAAAACCTGAGCAAAAACACCACCCAAAAATTTGCCACACAATATCGCCGAACGTGTATGACCGGAAACAATTTGATAACGGGATTTTTCCACCTTTGCATAGATATAGGTGTAGTAAGCGACTTCACTAGCCATAAAAGTACCATAGAAGATTTGCCCAATGATTAGCTCCCATACTGTATGAGTCCATAATAATATAGCAAATAGCACTATGCCAGCACAGGCCGAAAGTATAATGATGGGTTTATAACGCAAAATATCGGTAACCAAAAAAACTAAAATCAATTGTACCAAAACCGAATATGTACCGAAAGGATAAATTTCACGATTTAATTCTTCACTTGTGATATTACGATCCGGACCGGTTAGATATTCCACAACAAATGGCTCGGAAGGGCGCATTTCACGAAAGAAACCAAATGTGCATAGTAGAAGGGATATACGTAACCATGTCTGCATGTTTGTTTACTTTGCAGTTTTCAAATCTTTAAGACACGTTGAGTACAATAATATTTTCTTTCTTTTTTTATTTATAGTAGACTTGTTTTTGTTTATGGTTATTGTTTTGCTTTTATTTATACCCTAAACACTTTTGTTGTTATTGCCTCTTTTGGAATATTAACGTAACCTT